CACGTCTCAGTCTCCGTAAGTCATCACTGACAATACGCTGTTAATCTAGTTTTTAGAGATTGAGGTATACCTGACGAGAAGATATGTCGTAATTTTCCGAACGCTGCCCAGCCGAGTTGAATCCGTCGATTGGCCTCTCGGTCGAAGTTGGACTTACCAAGTCGGACTATTTGTCCCAGGTAAACGTACTCGTCAACAACTTCGAGCATAGTGCTCCCAACAACTACCGGCATAGGTGTGACATGGACATTAAACATGATCTTTGTTTTGTCCATATTCATCTTAAGACCTATCCGTTGGGAGGCACTATTGAGGTCATTGAGCATAGTGCTTAAGTCCTCCAGCGATTCTGCCATAAGGACTATATCGTCGGCAAATCGAAGGTGAGTGATGTACTCGCCATTGATGTTAATACCGTATCCTTTCCAGTCCAGTAGCTTGAAAACGTCTTCCAATGCAGCAGTGAAGAGTTTCGGGGATATAACATCAAATTGTATTGTATCAATAAATTACTCGAGCAAATACCGATAAGAGACAGCCACAAAGGAACTGTCCACAACATTGTATTCAATTTACTTTCCAAATTGTAGGAATAAGTTTCTAAATCAAGTACCGATAAGAGGCAACCGCAAAAGAACTGTCCACAATATCGAATTTATAGGATACAAGCATGTATTATCGAAATTGTAACAATAACTTACTCAACCAAGTACCGATACGAGACAGTCGCAAAGAAACTGTCCGCAATATTGTATTCATAGGGTGCACAATTATACAACATAGTAATTATAATAATAATAAGCGAACAAAATATCTGGACCTGGCTCACGAGGTGACCGACATGTGGGGTGGGCTGTCCACCGAAATTATACCTGTAGTCGTTGCTGCAAACGGGCTAATCCCAGTTAGCTTCTCGGGTCATCTGAGGCGACTGGGACTCCGTGACGGACTGCTCCGGGCTCAAATGCAGAAGGCGGTGCTCCTCGATACCGCCCGCATTGTCCGCCGGTTTCTTTCCCTTTCCCCCTAACCCTCGGCCGTTTGGTCTCCCCTGCCGAGGGCTTCCTTCTGGTTGGGCTTTTATTTATGTATGTATTTTTATGTTTTTGTTTTATTTTATTGTTATTTTTGTATATTTATCATTTTCGTTCGCAATTATATATTTATGGAACCCAACTAGATGAGAAAACTATATAGATACACCATAAAATAATAATAATATAATAGGCTATAGAAAATGTAACAATAAGTTACATAATTACACAACATAAGGCATTAAGTCCGCCCTTTATATCCCTTAGTATATGAGGTGTATAATAAAGATTAAATAAATAAATAAATCTGCATGGACATAACTAGAGGTACGTGACGACTCCGTCGCTTATTCTTTTTTCGGTGCAACTTTCTTTCCAATTTACCAAACTTTCATTCTAATTACGAGTAATATTTATCATTATGCTTTCTTTCAGGTATATTTTTACCAAAAATCACAAATTTTACCACTAACTAATAAGTACATGCATTCGATGAAGCATTAAAATACAAACGAAGATAACAAAATCGATGTATAATTATGCTAATTTCGAAGCACGAAGCAGAAGTATAATTTAAAGAGGTTAATGAATACGTCGCAAGAAATTCTATTATGTCTCAGAAATTAAAAACAAATCAGAGAAGACCTGTGTGCAATGCATGTATTGAGACAGATATTATACTATTTAGTAATAGTATAATATAAAATACATAATGATATAAAAAACATATAATATAAAAAACAAAACAGAACGTAGTTTTAATAAAGTAAGTTATATTCACTTTGTAAATACTAAGAATAGACACAAGCTAATATAAAGAAGTTTGGCATTATAGAAACTATACGAAATTTTCTATTCTGTGGTCTAAACAAAAGTCAGTTACACCATGTATTTTATTTTTATTTGCTTTCATAAGAAAATGGCGTAGTTTTACGATAGTTTAAAAATAATAAAAATAATGATTTCTTATATTTACGCGAACACTATACATTGATTAAAACTACTTTTACGGATTTTATCGCGTTTTATTTATATTAATTTTAATACCCGACGTTTCGGGTGCTTTCCAGCACCATGGTCACGGGGGACTGGGGACACCTCAAACTAACTAAACTAAACTAAAACGCGATAAAATCCGTAAAAGTAGTTTTAATCAATAATAAAAATAGTTAAAAAAAATAGTGTAACTGACTTTTGTTTAGACAATAGCATAGAGAATTTAATATAAATTATATAATGCCAAACTTCTTTAAATAAAAGTAGTCTATAAATAAAAGTTTTAATGTTTTAAAGTGTAGTGGGTCTCGGGATTTGACGGACGCAAGCCACAAAAACTTACATTTACAGACTACTTTTCTGTAAAGAAGTTTAGCATTGTAGATTCTATACGAAGTTTCCTATTCTAAAATTTAAACAAAAGTTAGTTACTCAATGGATTAATTATAACAGCAATATTTTATTCTATTTTGATAACTACGTACCAAGCTGATGTCGGTAGCGTGAAAATTACTGTTATTTCTATATATTACTAGAAAATATTTACATAAAAAAATTATACTCACAAAAAATTTCATAACAATTTTATAATATAAAAACTGTTCTTGACTTAGAAAAATCCAAACATCAAAGCAACAATGTACAACAACGAACACTAGACAATGACGCAATTTGAATGTAGATTATAAATGAATATCTGTAGACTAACTGAATTTTTATTCAATTAGAGGATAGAAAATTTCATATTGATTCTATAATCTCAAACTTCTTCCTTAAAAAGTAGTCTTTAAATATAAGTTTTTATGGATTATAGTGCTGTGGGTGGGTGCGGTATCATGAGACGCTAGGGATTTGACGGAATATGGCCACGGTCTCATGAGACCGCTAGGGGAATGAGACGCAAAAATACTTGATACCGCTCAAGTCATAATTAAAGATTCGCATGGAAAAAAAATTAAGCGTTCATTCATTGTTAGATAGCGCGTCTGAAAGTAATTTTAAAACGCATCAATGTTGTTGAAGCTTGTGATAATGTTATTAACGAATACATAAAAAGGGCCTTTATATTGCTTGCATCTCCATAGATGGATAAAGAGATGCCGTCATATTTTATACAGAATTTTGGTGTAATTAGGGAAGACAAACCTACATCTAAGTTACATGTGATACTTGATGCTAGTACTAAAACTAGTACCCGCCTCTCAGTTTCGACATTTTTTATAGTAAACAAAATTTACAGGGCAATCTTTTTAATATAATAGTAAATTTTCGTTTGTTTCGTTTATTAACCAAAGTTTCTTTGCACTGGGGTTCGTGAATGTGATTGTCGATTCCTGCGCCTTAACCCAAAGGAGCATGTAAACGTGTTTGAATTTAACCGCGTTTGCTTTGGTTTAAAGTCAAGTGCATTTCATTCGCTGCGCACTGTGAAACAGCTCGCTGCTGATTAATGATGAGCTATCTCAACCAACGCCGAAGTTATAAAACTCATGAAAGCAGGTCAATTTGATCTCATCAAGTGTACGAGTAATTCACGTACTGTTTCGAATGCATCTCGTCTTTCGGAAATCTTTTTCGGCTTTTTTGTATAGGATAGGTTGACAAATGAGCACACAGTTGCTGTGGGCCATAGACATTTACATCAATCCTCGATTACGAATCAAAATGCAGATGCGTTGTCACCCGTGAGGACTAAGATGTAATGTCTCGTTTCCAGTAAAAAGGGTCTCGGGTTTTCTACACTCACCATACTAAACACAGCAGCATTAAACTACTATTTTAGAAACCATTCTCAGAAGCTGCACTGCAGCTGACCTAACCGTCGTGAACACGTTTCTCAAAAAGAAAACCGAGCACCTGATTACCTACAGGAGCGGTCGAAACGCCACTCAAACCGACTATCTGCTGACCAGGAGAAGTCATATCAGTCGCTTGGCCAACTCTAAGGTCATACCCGGTGAGTGTCTCACTGCCCAACACCGGCTTCTTGTCATGGACCTCTGCGTAAAACCCCGTCGCGAACACACCGAACGTTGCCACCGTCAAATCATAGTCCAGGGTTCATTACGTGAGAAGAAAACGCTCTTCAAGACTTGGCAAGCGACGAAATCTCCTGAAGAACACGCATATTACAAGACAGCGAAAAGAGCTGCCAAGAAAGCTGTAGCCAGAGCCAGGCGTGATCACTTGCAACCATTATATGCTAAGTTGGACACTCCTGAGGGGCACAAGCTTATATATAAACTGGTGCACTCTAGGGCCAAAGCAGCGCAAGATATTACTCGCTTCTAAAACGTCAACTGCCCTAATGGCGAGCTCCTGTACGATGATCGTGCGGTGAAAGATAGATGGCGCTATTATTTCCACGTTTTGCTAAATACTCAGCACCGGGAAGTGCACCCTCCCGAACAACTCCCGAACCATGGACTCGTGCCACCGATTACGCCTGACGAGGTCCTCGCATCTCTTCGTCACATGGAGAATCGGAAAGCTGTCGGACTGGACGAGGTGCCAATTGAAGCATAGAAAGCGCTGGGGGCTCGTGGTGTGTGCATTCTTACTAAACTTTACAATAAAATCCTGAGCGTTCGAATAATGCCCGATCAGTGGCGGCTTAGTTTAATAACGCTGGTCAACAAGGGTAAAGGGTCCGTTCAGGATTGCGGTAATTACCGCGGTATAAATGTGACGTCACACACCATGAAGCTCTTCGAGCGCATTATTGACACCAGGATCCGACAGGAGTCTACAGTATTGGACTCCCAGTACGGTTTCCAACCAGGACGCGGTACCATGGACCCTATATTCGCCCTAAGTATCCTCATGGAGAAGCATAGGGAAAAGAATATGCCTCTGCATTTTTTATTCCTAGACCTGCAGAAGGCCTTTGACTGTGTTCCTAGGGAGATGATCTGGTGGGCGTTGCGGTCCAAATTGGTACCAGAGACCTGCGTGGAAATCGTACGTGATATGTACCGCAACTCCGATTCAATAGTCAGGACCGCTGTTGGTGATACCACCCCCTTCCCCATAACCCTAGGCGTGAATCAGGGCTCCGTCTTAAGCCCCTATCTCTTCAGTGTGATATTAGACGAACTGTCAGCCAGCGTACAGAAACTACCGCAGCCTTGGCTGCTTATATACGCTGATGATATCGCACTGGTAGATGGGGACAAAGGACGGCTCACCAGACGCGTGCACGCATGGAGGGAGGCGCTTGAGAACGGCGGGCTGAAGCTAAATGTGGCGAAGATGGAGTATATGGCCTGCAACAGCACAGATCTGACGTCTCTCCGTATAGGCGACGACACCGAAGAGTGCACGGACAACTTTAGGTACCTCGGATCTGTGCTTGATGCGTCCGGGGACATCGATCGCGACATCAAGGCCCGTATATCAGCGGCCTGGGCGAAATGGCGCGAGGTGACGGGTGTCATTTGTGACCCCAAAATGCCGGTCAAGCTGAAGGGACAGGTCTATAAGACCATCATAAGGCCTGTCCTTACGTACGGCAGTGAAGCGTGGCCGGTGCTAGAGCGACACCGGCAGTTGTTGCATGTCACGGAGATGAACATGCTGCGGTGGATGTGTGGCGTCACGCGGAAATACCATGTATGGAATAAATACATCCGCGGCAGCCTCCATGTCCGTGTCATTGCTGACAAGCTCCAGGAAAGTCGCCTCCGCTGGTACTGCCACGTTCGAGCGGCAAGCTACGTGGGAAAAAATGCCTGGACATGACCCTACCTCGTACCAGGAGTAGAGGACAGCCCAAGAAACGCTGGCTTGATGTCGTCCAGGATGACATGCGCGCCAATAGGCTAGTTGCGATGGACGCCGAAGACCGGGCAAAGTGGAAGAGGAAGTGTAGGAAAGCGGACCCTGGGTTCTCCCGCGCTGGGCGGGATGAGCAACCGGGATAAACGCTAGGTAGAAGAAGAAGAAGAAGAAGATTGTGTTTTTTGTGTCTTTTAATTGTGGTCGGTCACACGGCCACCCCATATATATTTACGACGTAAAAGTATGCGTTTCCGGCAGCTCCTTCATACAAGCACAAATACACGAACACCTCAAGAGAATTTCTAGACAATTTTTAACCAATTTTCCAATTTTTTTTGTAAATTTTCGACTTGTCTATTACTTATCACATTATGAATATTTTTACTATTTTTTTTATAATTTTATTTAATATGTAAGACAATATTTTGCCTTTTATTTACTATAATACATAATGTCTTAAATGTATTTATTTTGACTTTATGCTTAATATTGTATTTTTATTGTTTGATATATATTTTATAAGATTATTTTCAACGCCCCCTTATATAGAAATTAATTACTAATTATTAATTATTAATATTAATAATGGGCCGTCACAATACGAAAATGCAAACATACGCCTTCGTGGATCTTGCACCACGTCCACGGGCAAGCGTAACCTTAAACGGGTCAGCAAAATCTAAACAAGTGTTCATAAAGGGTTTAGTGGATTGCGTTACATGACAGGACCCAGAAGAGATACATCCACGCACCCAGTGTAGAGAACCGGAAAATCCTTTCCTGGAAACAAGGCATCCCATCTTAGTCCACGCGGGTAACAACGCATCTGCATTTTGATTCGTAAAGGTGCAATTCCGCTGTAGACTGTAGGTATCAGCATATAGCAGCAGACGAGGTGTTGCCGTGAAATGTCGCTGCAGTCATAATTTCAAACCGGACCGCAGACGGCAGCAACCCGTGTCCAGTCTGTTCCGAGTATTCAGTAGGGCATGATGTCTGACGTGTTTCAAATTAGCGATCGCGATTTATTTTTGTATCTTTTGTTAGAAGAGGAAGAACATGATGATGACTTGCTTTTATTATACAGGTACAAAAAGAAAAGATGAAAAGACACACGCCCTATGGTAAAAAACAGAGGAAGTGAAGGAACGTACAGTGCGGGATATTGGGCTACCTGGTTTATCAGTTCATCTTCCTTGGAATTGGTGAAACTCATTTTTTTAAAAAAATTCAACGGATTGTCACTCGAGTGTTGGCGGCACTACAGATTTTCAGGTGGGCTTCAGTGTCGTCTGCCGCTAGGCAAACGAAGTGTGGCTAGGTACGGATCGTATTTCATAGAGCTGTATAGAAACCAGTTGTGTCGCGACGATGCGTCACTTGCTGCGGCTGTCTGCATTCGGCTACGGAATTGCATCTTAATCAGGGATAGATGTAGATATCTATGAGCCACAGCAACCATTTACCATCAGGTGGATTGTGTGCTCGTTTATCACCCAATCCTATGAAAAAAGGAATTATGATAGTAAGGTCTATTACACTAAAGCATTATTATAGAAGGCCTCCTTGATGCATAATCATTATATGGGGTGGTCGGGTGACCAACCGTTAAAGTACTGTTGCACAATGACAAGTCTCATATTAGGGACTTTTGATACTAAGGTATATAATAATGTTACGAGCTTGAGGTTCGTGACGATAAAAACTGCCGATTGAATTACCAAAATTAACACTTTAATTCACACTAATTAAACTTAAAACACTAATAATTAATCACACTGACTCACTTTATTCCGCGCCGAAGCTTCGCTTGTCTCGCCGAATTCAATACTTCCCCGTTAGCATCTTGCAGCGCCTATAAATACAAATTAGCACCGAAACATCCAGAATATTCAAGTAAACATGCGCAAGGGGCCGAGAGTTCGAGTGTCGACTTCTAGAAGCTTAGTTCTTCGTTCCGAGACTAGATGGACTTCACGTCTTAGTGCATTAACATGTTATACGTGGAGTTTTGTTTTAATAGCGTGTTACTATGATACGTTGCTGTAATTTTTTAGTTAACAACAATACAAATTTTGTTACCAAAGTCGATAGGGATCATGTGAGTGTGTTGTGAGGATGTGCCATCCGTATAATGGATGTATTGATGCTTACTTGCGGTATAGAGTCTCGTGATGGATCTGCGGGTGTGTTACGCCTAATTCGATGCATCTTGTGGTTCTTGTCGATGGAGGTATAAGGGTGGTGATGTCTACTGGGATGTATACGTATATGTATTGATACTTGTTGCGTAGCTTTTCTGAAATCGGGTCCCTCCACTACGGGGCTGCAGACTGTCTGACCTCCATGATGTTTTATATAACAACATAATAATATATCTCTGTAATTTTCCCACCTTTAAATGATTGAAGGCTACTTGTTGGTTGATGAGACAAACATGATCGCAAATGCATATACTCAACGTCAGTGACACAAACCCTTTCTGATAGCGAATTATTACTCTTATCTTATAACTGCCTTTTAGCTACTTCTGTCGTTGTTTTGGTTGGTGGAACATATGTATCGACCTTATGCGGGTGGTATCTGGAGGGAGGATCTGAGTAGACTCCAAAGGCTGTGGCCTGAAGCCCACAACGTGAGACCTCATTCGATTGAGTTGGGCGGTAGACTCATGACACGCTCTGCGGCTTGTAGCCTTGCTGATCATGCAATACCATACACTTACATCACGTCTGCAGGAGCGGCGGTCTGGCAGGTGGTGATGCTCACGGAGGGTTCACGGCCAGTGTGCCTATTTACCTACACTGTGTGACGTACATTCGCTGTGGCTAAATTTGTCCGTATTCCGTTGATATTTGTGCTTACGGACTGCCACGGGCCAAGCCCTCTTTCGCCAGTTATTTTGCTGTGGACTACGGTCACGATTTAGCATTATCACTCCCACGAATAAAATTACTCTCACATAAAAAAATTACAGTTCTTTTATCATATAGTTGAAAAATATATACCTGTGAATGTCCATAATATACAATAAGCTAGGGATTTGTTTCTGTTAGACAAAGGGATTACTCTCACGTTGTTACGAGTCCCGTATTTTATAAAAGAAAATTTTATATTATAATGAAAAGAATTGCTTCATTTTTCGTGTTTGCCAGTTGAAAAGCAATAAGTCAAATTAATAATACACAAAATATGTGTTTTATTTTTTATCTTTTAATTCATATGAATTACCTTTTTATATAATACGCTTTTTATATGATAATTATGTTTATATCCGTTGAAATTAAGGCAGTGCTACAGTCCCTTCAGCTGTGCCAAGTTGACTGTTGGTATATCGAAGTGCTGAAGTATTTGTACAGTATCGATAGAATGGTTATCAGAGTACAAAACCAGAGTACGAAACTTATCTAAGTGCAGAGAGGTATAAGACAGGGTAACGTTATGCCCGAAACTCTTTACTTCTGCATTGGAATACGTTTTCAAGCTACCGGACTGGAAATAATAACGTATTAACATCAATGGCGAGTAAATCATCCTCAATTTGTCGACGATATAGTCCATATGGCAGAATCGCTATAGAACCTAAGCAATATGCTTAATAATCTCAATAATACCTAACAACGGATATGTCTAAAGATAAAATGAATAAAAAAGATCATGTTTCACGTCCATGTCACACCTATGCCGGTAGTTGTTGGGAGCACTAAGCTCGTACTTGTTGACAAGTACGTTAATCTGAGACAAATAGTTTGACCAGGTAAATTCTAATGGTTAGGCTGAGCAGCATTCGGCAGTTTACATCTTCTATCCATTGATACATCTTTTCGTCAGATATACCTCAAAACTTGAAAACAAGGTTGGTTGGTTGTACAAGCACGCACGCAAGCACGTTAAAGTCTTTGCGTTCGTGGATTTGTACTGTGACCACAACATTCTTCCGGAATTAGTATAACTAATTTGATAAATAACCAGTGCATAAAAATGTTTAACTAAAAATAGTGTATTTATTACGATTATAACATAATATACTAATTGGGGTATCTGAGGGTGTGCATTAATTACGTTACATATTGTATATATATATATATGTGTGTGTGTGTGTGTATATATAAGATCATAAATTTATCATAACAACAAGATGTCATAGGTTTATATGTAACTGTGTTATCTATATAATTGTGTGTTATTGTGTCCAATATTAGGAGTACATAAGGTGGTTCATTGCTATGTAAAAGAGCGCCTCTCGCCATCAAACGTAAAAGTTTGGCGGGTTTAGAATTAAGTTACACCACTATCTTATAAATTCATTAATAAATAATAAAAAAATACGTGTGGCACTCGGTGACTGCCGCGGTAAAGCTATTGCATAGCATTCAACTTATGCAATTATAATTATTTATTTATTTTATTTATGCAGTTAAGTCTTTGATATTAAATCAAGTTACACTTTTTGAGCGTGGTGACCGATAAGATAACAATTTTATTTCTCTTATTGAATTAATGAGAAGTTAATATTGTATAAAATATTTTTAATGTCTTACAATACATGTAGGTTATTCAGAAATTTTTATCATTGAGTTAGCAGCTAGTGTACACGCATACGTCTAGTCGCACGCACACAAACACCGTGCCGAAGTCTGCCGAGTGCCGAAGTCTGCCGAACTGAAACGACGTTAGACGATGCACGGCTTTCAACGCCACACCTCCGTGCCCGTCGGAGTGGGGAGCGTGAGGTTTTTTTCGTTACGGAATTTCTGGATTCGGTCCCCACGCTCAAGGCCCGCGATAGAAGCTATGCAATAGCTTAAAAAAACAACAACCAAACACTTATGAATTTATTTATTTATAAAATACATGTCTACAAGCTAACAGATGATAGCATCCAACACACTTGCAACATTAGATACATTAAGTTAAAATTGTTTATTTTAAGTTATAATTAATTTTACCAAATAAATCACATTAAATTACAATTAAAATAAAAAAATAAGTTGAAATAATTGCAGAACAAATAAAATAATAAAAAATATAAAACGAAAATAATCAAATTAATAAAACGAAAATAGTCAAATTAATTAAACAAAAAAGACCAAAATAGTCAAACAAAATAGTATACATCATTAAAATAGTAGTTATTACAATCAATGTCAAGAATAAAAAATTATAAAATGTCAATTACAATATTTCTTAATTTACTTATAAGTTTACTCAATCCATCAGCAAATAAGTCAAGATCATCGTACTGAGCAAGTATGTCGCCAATCATTCGTAATGCGCGGATAGTAGGCGCGTGCTCGCCGCGCCTGGTGCGCGCGACAGGGCGCGCTAGCAAACGAGGCCGGCGGCGCGGTGCTAGCTGCAGCCCTGACTCCTGTCGTATATTACGGGGAACTAAGATGCGTACACTCTCTAGTATTTGCGGACTATCGATCTTATGATAGAGTATAGAGAGATAATGTGTCAGCATTAGCATAACCCTCCTAAATTTTAAAGTTTCCATACCAACCATGCCTGATACGAACAAAGAAGTATACAGGTGAGGATAGTACCCGTATTGCTTCCTAAAGCACCAACGGGCAAACTTATGCTGTATCTTCTCGACCATAAGGACATACTTGTCCTCAAACGGGTCCCAGACAACAGCACCGTATTCCAGCTTGCTACGAACAAATGCGTTAAACATTATTTTAGCAAATACTTCTTTATCAAATTGTGTTCCAGTCCTGATAACAAACCCTAACATTCTATGTGCGTTCTTACAGATACTTGTCATGTAAAGATGAATGTGAGACGTGGTCCTTCAATACTGTCTGTGTAATGAGGATTAGTGACAAAGGATTAGTGTCTCGAATAAAGAAACACCGTTGTGGAATAAAGGTTTTTGAGCAGCAGCCTCGTAACGGTAGGCGAAGTATAGGACAACCTCCTACTAGATGGAGTGACGATCTGGTAAGACATGCAGGATGTCGATGAATGCAGGTAGCTCAGGACCGTGCGTTGTGGCATTCCTTTGAGGGAGGTTTATGTTCAGCAGCGGACTTATGATGGGCTGTAATGATGATGATTATGAGTTAATATGAGACAATGTAATCATTTTCACATTTCGTTTTTTTCCTTTAAAATATAACTCTAATTGAAATATTATAATATATATATATATATACATAATTCTGTCTCCTGTGGCTGCCACTTGGTCTATTGGCCGTTATTGCTACTAATGATCATGAGAGCCCGGGTCGGGACAAGAAAAATCAGTCAATGATATTTTCTATCAATAAATTCTTAGTAGCAGCTCGGTGTAAGGAAGTTGGCGGTGTTTCTACCGTGTGCCTCGTAAAAAAGGAATAAAAAGTGCACCTGGGCTCGCGCATAATACACTGTAACCCGGTCCTGCGCAGATAACTAATCTCCGTTTAGATTAGCCATCATGACCAAAACTCAGTTTGGAGGACATGATTATAATGTATTCCTATGTCACTTCTGTATGACTGCAGTAGGAATGAGATGGCTCAACCAAAAAATGGCCCAGATTCGGTAATATTACCAGCTTGAAATATCACTTAATAGTGCTATGTTTCGTACGGTGAGAAACGAGAAAAAAGATACTACTTGTTATGATATGACTTCATTTTAGTACTGAGGAGTGATAATTGCAGCATCAGCTCCACATCATTTACTTGTTATCAATGAGATTGTGGCCGCGCTAAAAATGCGTAGATCACCCGACGGGAAACGTGATGGAACATTGACAGCGCAATTTAGGCTTTGCAGTGACGACAGCATGCTCGTCATAATGTGTGCTCTTTTGTCAACCTTACTTTTAAATATAAAAGTATATGGTTTAGCTTATTAAAAAAACATTCACAATTGAATAAATACCTAATCAAAGCTAAAATACGCTCCCCTTACATATAAAGTGTTACAATATCTACTATAAAGTCCTCTAAAGTCTAAAAGTCCATCATCATTCACTTTTATAAAAGGCTGCGTGCCTACTCGAAGGATAAACGTTAATAATTCTACGTCGACTGGACAGCGACCCCTCGTAAAGATAACAAGGGAACGAGTGAGCTTTTCTGAATACATGTTTAAGAATTATTCAAGATATTTAAGACCACACGGAACGGAAAAGGAGCTGCAATTTTTATATTACATATTATTTTATATGACGAATCAGTTACACGTTTTATGACAAATGTATGCAGGATAAAAGTATTCATGAGCGCTGAAATACGCTGCATAAACGTTAGGGTGGAGCGAATTTTTTTTTTCACTTTATCTTAATGTAATAGTACGCAAAAAATGCCTTTAGGAATCAAATTAACTCATGCAAAAAATTATTTGGATTGATTCAGAGTAACCGCCTCCGCAAAGTTATTGAAATTGTATAAAAGATGATTTTTGACCCAGTATTGACGCTATGTAAATATGCAAAATAAGCAAATCGTAACATTTTGTTTAAAATTTTAATTTAAAATAGAGTATATTTTGATTAAAAATCCAGTACAACCAAGTTTTATGTAAACTTACTTCAAATCAATTACACACACACACACACACACACACACACACACACACACTATATATATATATATATATATATATATATATATATATATATATATATATATATATATATATATATATATATAGTACATATATATACACTATTCAGAATAGTTTACCGAATCGAGTCCTATCATTTTTATTAAAGGTAATTATTTATCCCAAAAAAAAAATTAAAACTACGTAAATTACAGTCACACTAAATCTGTACAGTCAAAATAAACTGAAATGGCTAACTTAAGGCAATAAGACCTTTAAGAGTGCAGTTTTATTTGTATTATTACTAATTCTGTCATTCAATAAAAATAAAGAAAAATTAACTTTATTTCAAGTACGTTAGTCTTTGCGTTCGTGGATTTGTACTGTGACCACATCATTCTTCCGGAATTAGTATAACTAATTTGATAAACAATCAGTGCATAAATATGTTTAACTAAAAATTCAGTGTATGTATTATGATTATAACATAATATACTAATTGGGATGTCTGAGGGTGTGCGTTAATTACGTTACATATATAGCTATTACTTTTCAATGTGAAATATCGCACTTTAATCTATTTCACAATATTTCTTGGTTGTTTGAAACATGTAAAGAACACTTAGTGCATTAAAGTGTCCCTTTTTGGTAATATCCAAGATATTAAAGAGATCAATTTACCTACGTATGAGGATGTGATGAAGTACTACGAGTGGATCAGATATCATCTTAAATTGCAACTGGAAACTGTAAAAAAAACCAATATTTTCACAAATAGGTGATATTATGGCACTTAGATTTGAAAATATATGAAACTAACTTAACTGTGTCTATTGCGACCGTAACTAGAACACAAGTTATACAAATGTTAAAAGTCTACTTACCACTTAAAATGTAAAAATTAACTCAAGTCTGTTAAGAAGCTCTCTTCAGAAAAATTGGATAACTTTTGAGAAAAGGTAATAAATATTACAGAACAATGACGGTTAAAGAGCAAATTTCCCCAGTTCAAGAGCCAGATTCTATCAACATGTCGACTTTCCTCTAAAAAAGTGTCGTAACATAAGAAAAAGTAGAAACACAGATTTAAATACAGTTTTATTAAGTTTTTCATTCTCTATCGATCAATGAAACCGCCACAATTGTAGTACAAAAAAAACTAACTAGGTGGCGTAAGTGACGGTTTTTTACGGAGCGATATTGCGCGCTCCCGCCTCAACAATAGTGACGTATCGGAGCTTGTGTCGTGTGAACGTGTGTCAGTGCTCTTGAAAATCGCCATAAGCTATCTTGTGACCATATTTTGGGTAAGTTTTTTCACAATACTTGTAAATTTAAGAGTGAAAACTGCGGTATCACAATATAGTACTGTTTTTTTCGATCGTAATTTGAAAACATGTTATTTTTCACTCTAAAAAAGTGTCATAACATAGGTTATGATACTATTTCACTCAACATTGTATTATATTTTTATGTTTTAACTGGGTAAAAAACAGTTGTATTTTGTTTTGTGGTACCTTTTTTTATAATTGTTTTGCAAAATTTAGTTACCGAATGTTTATAAAAGTAGCCTTGAATAGGTTATGACTGTTTTTTATATTTTTTTATTCTACTTTGAACTAACGGGTACTACAATTTTGTCACATCAATATGTTATGGCCGTTTTGAACTGATTTTAGTATTACTCTTTACTGTAGTGCTACATAACTTTATTGTATAATTTACCTACATTAACATCAATACTTACGGAAATGTTGATGTTCTGTTCATATTAAACTTGTATTTATTTATTTCAGAATAAAAATGTGTGACAGATTTAAGGATAGCAGGGGCAAAAAGTTACTACAACTTTTAAATTCTGAAAGTGATGAAAATAAAGAAAATTGTGACCGCAATCTAATCAAAGGTAAATTTAACTAGCTGCACGACTTAATTAATAATTAATATGTTATGTAGGTGGTAACAATTGTTCTAATAAGTATGTTTATGGTGAGTTTATTTTTTTATTTTTTTTACAGAAGATTCCGAGGAGATAGTACACAATAATATTCCTAAGGATGATAATACCAAAGAATGTTTCAGTAAGTTATTTATATAAACTTTTAATGTTAACTTTAATTTGAAAGTTATTATTATTGCTTAGTTTATGAATTTGTTTTATTTCAGAAAATTCAGATAATGTTACAACTTTTGAAGCTTGGAAAGAAGCTGAGCCTATTGCCCATTGCAGTTACAATCCGCCTGAAAATAAATCTTCATTTACCGAGCCACCACCCGCTGCTTATGAATCGTATTCGGAAGATGACGATGATTCAGTAAAAGATCCTCACTACAAGTCTAGTTCCTCCAGTAGGTCATCTAGTTCTTCTAGCAGTTCTTCGAGCACTTCTACGTCAACTGCGATAACGAACAATGTACAAGTATTACCAACTAACGGTCAAGTGGAACCAGTCTCGATCCAGACTTCTGCTGAAACAAATAACGAAGAAATACAAGAAGCAGTACAAAATGAGAATGAATCAATAAACCAAGATGAAATAGTCGATCAGAATATTTCCATGAACGAAATAGAAGAAAATAGTAATGTTAAGAAAAGTAGAAAGCGCGTTGCAAGAGTTGAAGAGTGGCTTAGTAATAAAGCGAAAAAATTACGAAATACTGGCAAATGTTACATTTCCAGATTTAAAACCAAGAAAATTATACCTGCACGTTCTTTGAAACCACCTTGTGTCGATAAATGCAAAATGCAATGTTCTACTAAAATTGACGAGGACTGCAGGAAGAAGATTTTTGCTAAATATTGGGGATTAGGAGATATTACCCTTCAAAGAAACTTTATTAACTCCTCTACCAAAGCTATAGTGCCCGCATTCCGTTTTTCGGGAAAAGAAAAACCTCGAGGTTATAATAATGCTTACTATTTTGACGTTGACAATGAAAAGATACGGGTTTGTAAGAAGTTTTTTATGAATACGTTAGATGTAAATGATCGCGTTATAAGAACAGTTTTTCAGAAAAGAGATCTAGGTTTTATTGACATAGAAAAGAGAGGTAAACATGGCAATCATAAAAAAGTCGATGAATCGATTAAGCAAGCAGTCAGAGATCACATAAATTCGATTCCACGGATTGAAAGCCATTATATCAGGAAAGATTCTAGCCGAGAATATATCGACGGTGGTAAATGTTTAGCAGACTTACATGCAGACTATAAAGCACAATGTTTGGAGCAAGGAGTTAGTGCAGCACACTACGAAATGTATGCAAAAATTTTTAATTATGAGTTTAATATAAGTTTTTTTACTCCTAAAAAGGACCGTTGTGAGTTGTGTGTAAGCTACGAAAATGCAACTGGATCTGCAAAAGAGGAACTACAGGAAAAGTACATGTTACATCAGGAAGAAAAGGATTTATCTAGAATAGAAAAAGAGAGTGATAAAAATAAAGCGTGCAATGATTACGTCGTAGCTGTCTATGACCTTCAGGCTGTTCTTCAAACTCCAAGAGGAGATGTATCAGTATTCTATTATAAATCGAAATTAAATAACTTCAATTTCACTATAAGTGAAATTGGTTCCCCTGATCACACCGAATGCTACCTCTGGCACGAAGGGGAGGCCAATCGAGGGGCAGATGAGATTGGGTCTTGTGTCCTGAACTTTATTGACAAAGTAATGGAAAATTATGCTGGTTCAGGTATTGAATTTGTATTTTACTCCGACAATTGCTGCGGCCAGCAGAAAAACAAATTTCTTTTTTCCATGTATATATACGCGTTGATGAAACATTATAAAATTAAATCTATAACACATAAATACCTTATTACTGGCCATACACAAAATGAAGGAGATAGCGTTCATTCCGTGATAGAAAAAGCTATCAAAAAGAACCTCCGCTCCGGTCCCATCTATGTTCCGAGCCAATATGCTCAAATTATAAGGAACGCCAAAAAGAAGGGCAACCCGTATAGAGTAAACGAGATGAGCTTCAGAGAATTTTATTCTATGAAAAGCCTATCGGAAACCATTGGTTTCAATTCTAAAAATTTTAAAACCTCTGAAATAAAGGTTTTAAAAGTGATTCAGGGCAAATTTAAGAAAGTGTACTATAAATATTCTTTTAAAGAAATTGATTTTAAAGAAGCAGAAATCACAAGAAAGCAATTGCCCTTTCAAATAATATCACTAAAAAAAGCTTATAGGACGAAACCGAAAATTAAAGAAAATAAAAAGAGAGACCTCTTAAGTCTGGTACAGAGTAATCACATACCTAATTTCTACAGCGAATTTTACACAAATTTGTAATCTTTAAGTTTTAAGTTTTAACAATTTTTAGTGTGTTTTTAACATTGCCTTTAGACTGATTATGGTAATTGTGAAAGTTCCTAAAGTTGCTCCAAAGATTAGATTTAATATTAAGAAGAACCATAAATAAAAATATTTTTTGTGTTACGATATTTTTTTATTTTGCTACCATAATAATGTAAAAAAGTGTCATAAGTTAGGTAATTTTTAATTTATTTACTTTTTAAACAAATTTCATTTAATTTTTTAATATACTCTTATATTTTGCAAGTAGCTTGATAAATTCTTTGTTAGTTAAAACAGTAGACAGGTAAAAATTTGTAACCTAAAAGTCACAGTAGCATTAATTTATCGAAAAATAATTTAAATCGTTTTTTTCTCAAAACTAGCTTTCAGCGTCTTATGACAGTTTTTCAGAGGGAAGTCGATGTGTTATGTAGTACCTAGCACTGTTTCGGCAAAAGCAGTAGAATCAGCAATTACAGGGTTCTTAGCAAAGGAAAGTACTTCCCTAGAACATCTTGTAGCAATAAGTTGTGATGGGACTAATGCAAAATCTGAAAATAACGGTGATATTATACGAATCCTTGAAAAAAGGCTATAAAGGCGAGGGGCCAACGAATTTTTTATTCACTGCATATGAACGAGCTTCCATTAAGGCATTTGTTTTTACATATTAACCGAGGCACTTCGGGACCCAAGTCTTACCCTGATCAGTTGGAAAGGACACTGAAAACTTGTGAACAAATGCCGATTATGAAATTCCAACTCATCGAAGCAGAGTCACTCCCAAAACTGCCCCAGACTTCAGCACAGATCAATAGTACTTGCGCGAGATCGTCTATGCGGTACAATTAAGTTCTTTTCCAGAAGGTCTATCAAACAGGTCTTCATGTGTGTCTTTATCATCACATTCTTTTTTACACAATCTCATACTGAATTTAACGTAGCAATTTATATGCGTAATTTGTATGTAGCAACAGAGAAACAACCAGAAAATTTGATTGCTCTGGCTACATTTGTCCTAAAAGTTTACGCCTCAGCTTGGTTCTCAATTAAGATTAAACCATCATCTAAAGATGGTGCTCGACATCTATGTAAAATTATATTAGCCTCCAGTTATCTGCGAAAATCCTTAAAAAAATTAATCGACCCAGTCATACAACGCAATAGCTACTTCGCACATCCTGAGAATTTCGCTTCTTGCAATAATTACGGATGATAAAAAGCGCATTCGTGAATTGGCAGCCAGGTGTATATATATAAAAGCACAAAAGTACAGAGTACATAGAAATCCCCTGCACCGAGGCTATTTGAGATGCCTGATATTAATTTCAGTACAACAACCTACATTGATATGACAAATTGGCAACTCACCCTTACTGAATCTCTCTGATCTTGAAATACTTAAGTGACTAAGAAATTCAACAAATATTTCAATATTTCAAATATTTGGTGAGAGTGAACTGTTGTTTTTACTCTCCCATGTCATACCCAGACTGTTGAGCGAGCTGTCAAGTTGATGACAGAAGCGGCCATTTCTCATTGTAAGGATTCATCATGATTAGGGGTCTTAAAAGCCAAATTGGGATTCCGTAAGAAAATGCCAAAATCCAAGACGAAGAGATATTTTAACATGTATGTAAAAGTAAGGTTGACAAAAGAGCACACATTATGACGAGCATGCTGTCGTCACTGCAAAGTCTAAATTGCGCTGTCAATGTTCCATCACGTTTCCCGTCGGGTGATCTACGCATTTTTAGCGCGGCCACAATCTCACTGATAACAAGTAAATGATGTGGAGCTGATGCTGCAATTATCACTCCTCAGTACTAAAATGAAGTCATATCATAACAAGTAGTATCTTTTTTTCTCGTTTCTCACCGTACGAAACATAGCACTATTAAGTGATATTTCAAGCTGGTAATATTACCGAATCTGGGCCATTTTTTGGTTGAGCCATCTCATTCCCACTGCAGTCATACAGAAGTGACATAGGAATACATTATAATCATGTCCTCCAAACTGAGTTTTGGTCATGATGGCTAATCTAAACGGCGATTAGTTATCTGCGCAGGACCGGGTTACAGTGTATTATGCGCGAGCCCAGGTGCACTTTTTTCCTTTTTTTATGAGGCACACGGTAGAAACACCGCCAACTTCCTTACACCGAGCTGCTACTAAGAATTTATTGATAGAAAATATCATTGACTGATTTTTCTTGTCCCGACCCGGGCTCTCATGATCATTAGTAGCAATAACGGCCAATAGACCAAGTGGCAGCCACAGGAGACAGAATTATGTATATATATATATATATATATATATATATATATATATATATATATATATATATATATATATATATATATTATATATTTCAATTGGAGTTATATTTTAAAGGAAAAAAACGAAATGTGAAAATGATTACATTGTCTCATATTAACTCATAATCATCATCATTACAGCCCATCACAAGTCCGCTGCTGAACATAAACCTCCCTCAAAGGAATGCCACAACGCACGGTCCTGAGCTACCTGCATTCATCGACATCCTGCATGTCTTACCAGATCGTCACTCCATCTAGTAGGAGGTTGTCCTATACTTCGCCTACCGTTACGAGGCTGCTGCTCAAAAACCTTTATTCCACAACGGTGTTTCTTTATTCGAGACACTAATCCCTTGTCACTAATCCTCATTGCTAAGTTTATTACGCTGAAATAACCCGAGCATATCTGTTTCCATAACTCGCTGAGCAACCTTGAATTTCCTAATACGGACAGTATTGAAGGACCACGTCTCACATTCATCTTTACATGACAAGTATCAGTAAGAACGCACATAGAATGTTAGGGTTTGTTATTAGGACTGAAACACAATTTGATAAAGAAGTATTTGCTAAAATAATGTTTAACGCATTTGTTCGTAGCAAGCTGGAATACGGTGCTGTTGTCTGGGACCCGTTTGAGGACAAGTATGTCCTTATGGTCGGTAGGGGTGAACTCCTTATCCGCTTTACTTGACGCTGCTATGTTGCTATTTTCAAAATGTAATAGCGTGTGATGTTTCCTGGCGCACTTTCTACATACGGAACTCGAATTGCATTTTGCAACTAAATGCTTATCACTTAAGCAGTTCAGATATAGGTTGTTTGTCTTTACTAATTTATAACGTTCGCTTGGTGAATATTTACGAAAAGTTGCACAATTGTATAAATTACCGTGTTTATCTTTACATACGACACAAGCATGCTGAAATGATGCTGACGTAGCGGTTACGTAAGTTAACGACCCTGCTATTTTAGGTGGTTGAGTCTGTCTACGGTCGACGCACTTTCTAATGTCCTGTTTAACGTTCGGAGAGCGCTGCATCACCTTTATTTGATCTCGCACGAACGATGCTAGTGAATGAAAGGAAGGCATCTCCGAGCTACGATGCTCAATTTCAAACGCACGCACGGTGTCGGGGTCTAATTTCTTTAGTGCAATATGGAGAAACACCACGTCCATAAGGTCATTAAAATTTAAATTCTTAAGTGCAGCCACCGATGCCACAAATTTATCTAAAAACTGCTCTAAGCCGTTGATGTTCGCGGATGATATAGGTTTAAGATCGAATATCTGGTTCAAATATTCGGAAGCTAACATTCTCCTATCTTCATATTTAGTTTTAAGCGTCTCGAATATCAAAAAGTAATTGTTTGCTGTAGGTGTAAAACTCGAGCAAATTGACTGTGCTCTGCCACTAAGTTTACTAATTAAATAATATAATTTTTCAGCGTCCGATAACGATGGCTTATTGTGTATATTGTTTTGAAAACTACTGAAGAAGAAGGGCCATGTCTTAATATCACCATTGAATACCGGAATATCTATTGGCGGCAACCGAATTGAGTCACGTGAACGTACCTGTATTTCCGGCTTTGCTTTGTTTTGAGATTGTAAGAGTTTCTCCGTTCTTTTCACGCGACACTACATATCTTCAAATTCTAGAAGCGGTTGGTAGTTCACTATGTATTTCGGGTCGATTTGTAATTCCAAATGATTAATTTGGTCTAATATTCTTTCGTAATCCGTCCGCAAAGTATCTACCGTTTCAATTTCATTCCAAAAAGTTTCCCGAACTGCTTCTACATTGATGTTCTTTATGTGATCACTAATACTTTCTATACGTGAAAAAAGTATGTCCCTCTTGGCATAAAGCGTTTTAATTTTAATTTCATTTCCACTAACTGCCATTTTAAATTATTGTAATAAAGTTATATTAATCACAATTAATCTCACAACGCACAAATAATGGAGAATGGACACTCTTATTCCGTATTACGTAATTAAATCGAACACCTGTTACAGCGAGTCGAGGTGACGCGTTGCTCGCTAAACTCATATTTTTTTTTATCAAAATTGTCGGGTAAGCGTACAAAACGATTGCTATTACACTGTTACAATTATTTAAGCGACTAATAAGCTTTAATTATTCGCTTAAATAATTGTAATTGTAGCAAATACAAACACTATTAAAATGAATAATTCTGTTTGCGAGTACCTAACCAAAATTTAAATTTAAACGAACACTATTTAAGACTATTCCACAAATTAGAGTGCATTATCTAAATAATTAATTTAATAATTCGACCAGAAAATGGTTGAACGACTACTAAACACCAGTCCAAATCCTGCCGAAGTGACCATAAAATGGTGGAGCGTCGAGCCTAAGGTTGCCGAAGTCTAATTCCCCGGTTGTTATTACGCGAGCTATTAATCTAAGTGGACTGTATCTACAAAATGTTTCTACACTTATATAAACGACAACTATAGCATGCGGTACAATGCACTCGCTCTTCCCTAAAACGAACTATTATTTGCCAAATCGATGAAATGAATCTTGCTTGATTAGGAGAAACAAAATTGGAGCGGGTTAAAACACAATTATATCAAGCAGGCAATACAGGCAATATTGTTAGGAATATTGACTCACCGGGGTGTCTCTTCTCTGCTGTTGGGCACTATAGCTGCGACTTCTGGAACTTCTTCTGGACAGACACTCATGAGAGAGGCGGTGCGCGACTATATCTCACACGAGGTGAGGCGGATTTCCTGGAGCTCGACTGCTTCCAGGCTAAAGCGGTTCTACTAGCGGTGTGGTTCCAACAACGAGCGCGGCGGGAAGAGGAGCTCTTTAGGACACTATTATCCTAGGCGGTGTGGTTTCAACGACGAGCGCGGCGGGAAGAGGGCGCGCGTCGGTCGCGCGTGCCTTTTATATCTTCGGTTGCGATGATTACGTGATATTCTAGAATCATCTTCTTTCCCCTCCCACCCCACCACCCCGATGTGTCGATAGGAGGGTATGAATGATATCGTTTTGGAAAGGGATAACCGATTTGGCAGCCTACCGTCAAATTAAATAAATACGAATGATTTTCCGCGCAACCACTCTACAATAGATCACATACACTCCCTAGAACTAGTTATTGAAAAGTACCAGGAAAGACAGAGACCACTCTACGTCGCCTTTGTGGACTATCAAAAAGCATTTTATACAATATCTCACACGAGTATCTGGGAAGCCTCAAAAGCTCAAAAAGTAGAAAACAAATACATAGAAGTGATAAAAACATTTATAGCAAAAGCACTAGCAAAGTAAAATTGGAAACAATTGGCCAAAGCTTTCCTATTAAGAAAGGAGTAATTCAAGGCGATCCGTTATCATCAATTCTTTTTTATAGCTGTACTGGAAACTGTCATAAGAAAACTGGACTGGAATACATTTGGTCTGAACATTAATGGCAAATACTCAAGCCATCTAAAATTCGCAGATGATATAGTGTTATCATCAGAAACTAGCTGTGTCCTGCAATATATGTTAGAGTCCCTTAATATAAGCAGCAGAGAAGATTAGAGAAGATGGGATTAGAGATGAATCTGTCAAAGACGAACGCCATGACAAATAACATCAAAAAGTGTATCAGGTTAGAAAATAGGTCGGTAGACTACGTGGCTGAATTATATATTAAAAAATCCAAATGTTTTTATGTTAATAGTAAAGCTAAATTTCGTATATTTTTATATATGGGTGTATTTTATACAAGTGCGTGTAAATAAAAATTAATTAGTATGTTAATTTATGTTTTAATTTAATTTAGGTAATTTGAACTGAATTGTTGCATAATAATTTCAAAGCTCAAAAATCATTGTAATGCATGGAATTAGAAGAAAAAAAGGCTTTTATTTTAATTTATTTTATTATATTATATATGTATTCATTTCATGAATATGGGCCAAATTACGGGTACCTTTTAGACGACGCGTATATGAAATGAAATGTGAAAGAAGCGAGACATAGAGAGAGAGAGAGAGAGAGAGAGAGAGAGAACGAGGGAGAGAGGTCTGTCAAGATCATACCAAATGGAAGTCCGTAGTCTCTGCCCACCCCTCTGGGTAACATGTATGAGAGTTTTAATACGTAAAAATAATTGAATATCATTCGCCAGTGTGCAGAATTCGTAGTATATAATTGATTAATTATTTCTACGGAGTCTGTAATTAATTTAGCAACGAAATTATTAAACTGTTTTCTCACTACTCCGAGGAACGAGGCAATAGGTTTCTTAATTTAGTCAAGCTTATGACAAACTGTTTTCAGCTTTATAACTTTAAAGTAATTAATACACATTCAGACTTACAACTGATAAATTGTAGACTTAAACGCGGTTTATTTTTCAATTCTTCTTATCTTCTGTATAATGGTTTTCTTTTTTCATCGCGGAGATTTTAATGTACTTAATTTAAAATGCAAGAAAACACTTTTTAATTTTTACATTACTTATCATCACGACTGCATATTTTTAAAGAATGAAGGTGACAAAGGAGCACACATACCACCTACAGGTAAGTAAATACTGTGGTTCTTGGAAATCCACATTAATCCTCTATTATGAATCAAAATACAGATGCGTTTTTACCTTTGATTATTAAAATGTAATGCCTTGTTTTCAGTAAAAGGATCTATGGTTTTCGATAGACACCATATTAAATACAGCAGCGTCAACCTGCCATTTTTGCACCCAAAATTGCACCCTGGAGCATGGCGGAGTTAGAATAGCAGACTATCAATCAGACAAAGGGACGTAGTTGCATTTGTAAATCTACTGCGCATGCGTAAGTTCATAATATTAATGTAGATCTATATTGTAGAATAAGGGTGACAAGCGTACAATCGACCTGATGGTAAGTAGAAGTTGTGGCCCATAGACATTTTAATCTTTCTTGAAAGCAAAAACTCAGATGCATTTTCACCCCTAAAGGCTAAAACAGAATGCCTCACTAACAGTAAAAAGCATCTCTGGTTCTTTACTCTCACTAGATATTAACGATATTTATATCTTGGTCTTCAGATGCCTTTCCGACTAGCTAAGGTAGACAGTCAGCTTAATGAACTGTGCTCTATTCTTCGCGAGGCGAAACAGTACGGTGGCATTCGCGATTTCAGTTGACTCACGGATGTTACCTTACTATGATTATTTTCTACGACCGACGTCTCTCCTTCCGGAAACATTTCCCTTTATAATTAGTTTTAGGAGTTAGTACCTCTCGTGACTCAGCAAATGACTCAAATATGCGAATTTTCTCATTTTGATGGTCTGCATAAGTTCACGCCTTTGGTTGACTCGTCACAGAACTTCCACATTCGTGACTTTGTGAGTCCAGCTAATAGCCAATATACGCCTGTATGCCTCCTACATTTAGAAAGTTTATATACCTTTTCGGAGGTCCTGTTTAACTGTCCACGCGTCACAACGGTTTAAAAGTATCCGTTCATATGTAACAGTGTAAAAATACCCGTATGTAACAGTATAAAAGTCGTGTGCAAAGAGATCTTAAGTCTTCGGTTGCATTATTTTCATCATTCATTTTACTAAAGTTACTCTGAGCCATTTTAATTCTGGTCTTAATTTTCTGATCGCAGGCGACTTTATTTGATACGCTCTTTGTCTCGCGTCGTAAAGTGGCGGGAATTGCAATTTTTTTGCTAACTTGCAAATTTTGCTATATTTTCAGTTTGAGACAATATTTATGGATAAAACTCACAGGGATTCTTATTGAATGTATAAACTATCGAATAAAATTATTTTTAGTTGATAGAAATTGTAATAAAATTCATAAATTACCTTTTATAACATAGTAGTAGTAGATACTTCACTTTTAGTCTAAAATTACTACTAATTTGAATTCTACATATTTGTTTTTGGAGAAATCTATATGAAAATGTTTGGAAATATGTATATTTTATGTTTTTTGGGTTTCTATTCGTTACTCATACCAAAATATAAAAAAAATTATATGTATGACATTTCCGAATAATATTTCAAATATATTTTTGTGTGAATTTGAAATAAATACAACGTCAAGTTATTTGAAATATGTTATAAAACTATTTTTTAGTTACATTTTACACTAAAAATAAATGAGAATTGGAAAAATAACACATTTTTGACCCAACCGCTAAAATGGGCCTTCTCGATTTCGAAATACTTTTGGCACTTACTTTTCACTTTTTATGCCACAAATTATATATCTACGTGTTTATTATATCACAAGAAATACACATAAGTATAAAACTCACCTTTTATTTCAAAAACACACAGAAAAACGGAGAAATAACTCAGCAATAGCTCACGCACTACCACGCACAACTGTTGTAAAAAGCCATTACGTCAGAATGATTTTTATGTCTATTTTTAGTTCGAAATTGACAGATTATGGTACCAAATTAAAGTTTTTTTTAGTATGTCTTTGTCTATGTCCGTATTATACATTTTAGTATAAATTTGTTATAATTTTTACTGACAAACTTTTTTGTCGGGTTCGCCCTCATAAATTATGAGTGGTACTAATGTGTACCATTGCCGAGCGGGCGGAGGGCGTTGTGTAAGTCACATTTGTACCACTGTTGAGCGAACAGGTATAAATTGACGATTAGATTTTTAAAACATATGATTGAATTTTGTTTATCTTTTTTAATTAATTACGTTGTATGTATTCTAATTATATGGTTAAGTTTCAATTATAATCTCTAGTTAACTGTTATTTATTATTTATCTTAGCCCAAACATACTAAACTGTTTTGATAAAACATTTAACTTTGAGGCCCCTGCGGAGGCAGAATATGTTATGCAATTGAGCTGAAAAAGAACGTAGTTGACTCTAATCATATTGCACTAATCCCGAGCTATTACGATTTAAAATATAAAAAAGATTTCACCCAAATAAACGTATTGGTGATATATTTGTGTGGCAAAAGCCGTTACAATGATAATAGATGATCTTCATTACCATTTTCGAATGATGGATACTTTTTATGTGCATAATTGCTCAGGACTACCATCAGAGCCTAACAGTTAAAGAAATTTAATATTTTATTTGTAATAACGTAATAATATTATGAAACTTTTTAATTATTGTTTATAGTAAAAAAGCTGAAGGTACTCCGGGTTTAACAATGACATCGGGACCTCAGTCACCTCAGTCCCCCGTGACCATAGGTGCTGGAAATCACCCGAAACGTCGGGAATTAAAAATAAAAAATAATTAAAAGTAAAATTAAACGCAATAAAATCCGTAAAATTAGTTTTAATCAATGTGTAGTGTTCGCATAAATATAAGAAATTATTATGAATGTTAAATTTTTAAGAAAAATAATGATTTCGGAAGAAAATAATGATGTCGAAAGTTGATTATATAAATTCATGACCGAGATTTATGGTTGTACGTAATGGTCTTGAGCTGTAACGGTGACGATTTTGAAGAAATACGGAAAGGAGATTTAAGTTACGTAAATAATTGCTTTTCCATGCGGCTCCGGTCTTTTTTAATAATAAGCGACAGCTTTTTATTACTAGTATTATTTTAACCAAAATTTTCAGAACTGCCACTAAGTAAATGAGTGCAGTGAAAGAGCTGGTCTTAGGATGAATATTTTGAAAACGAAACTCATGATCATATCTGAGAATAGTTTTGACGACTTTGACATCACAGTAGCAGGCCAAAGACTTGAAAGAGTGCGCAAATATAAATATTTATGTACGTGGATAAACGAGACGTGGAGCTGCGATCAGAAAATTAAGACCAGAATTAAAATGGCTCAGAGTAACTTTAGTAAAATGAATGATGAAAATAATGCAACCGAAGACTTAAGATCTCTTTGCACACGACTTTTATACTGTTACATACGGGTATTTTTACACTGTTACATATGAACGGATACTTTTAAACCGTTGTGACGCGTGGACAGTTAAACAGGACCTCCGAAAAAGGTATATAAGCTTTCTAAATGTAGGAGGCATACAGGCGTATACTGGCTATTAGCTGGACTCACAAAGTCACGAATGTGGAAGTTCTGCGGCGAGTCGACCAAAAGCGCGAACTTATACAGACCATCAAAATGAGAAAATTCGCAATATTTGAGTCATTTGCTGAGTCACGAGAGGTACTAACTCCTAAAACTAATTATAAAGGGAAATGTTTCCGGAAGGAGAGACGTCGGTCGTAGAAAATAATCATAGTAAGGTAACATCCGTGAGTCAACTGAAATCGCGAATGCCACCGTACTGTTTCGCCTCGCGAAGAATAGAGCACAGTTCATTAAGCTGACTGGCTACCTTAGCTAGTCGGAAAGGCATCTGAAGACCAAGATATAAATATCGTTAATATCTAGTGAGAGTAAAGAACCAGAGATGCTTTTTACTGTTAGTGAGGCATTCTGTTTTAGCCTTTAGGGGTGAAAATGCATCTGAGTTTTTGCTTTCAAGAAAGATTAAATTGTCTATGGGCCACAACTTCTACTTACCATCAGGTCGATTGTACGCTTGTCACCCTTATTCTACAATATAGATCTACATTAATATTATGAACTTACGCATGCGCAGTAGATTTACAAATGCAACTACGTCCCTTTGTCTGATTGATAGTCTGCTATTCTAACTCCGCCATGCTCCAGGGTGCAATTTTGGGTGCAAAAATGGCAGGTTGACGCTGCTGTATTTAATATGGTGTCTATCGAGAACCATATATCCTTTTACTGAAAACAAGGCATTACATTTTAATAATCAAAGGTAAAAACGCATCTGTATTTTGATTCATAATAGAGGATTAATGTAGATTTCCAAGAACCACAGTATTTACTTACCTGTAGGTGGTATGTGTGCTCCTTTGTCACCTTTATTCTTTAAAAATATGCAGTCGTGATGATGAGTAATGTAAAAATTAAAAAGTGTTTTCTTGCATTTTAAATTAAGTACATTAAAATCTCCGCGATGAAAAAGAAAACCATTATACAGAAGATAAGAAGAATTGAAAAATAAACCGCGTTTAAGTCTACAATTTATCAGTTGCAAGTCTGAATGTGTATTAATTACTTTAAAGTTATAAAGCTGAAAACAGTTTGTCATAAGCTTGACTAAATTAAGAAACCTATTGCCTCGTTCCTCGGAGTAGTGAGAGAACAGTTTAATAATTTCGTTGCTAAATTAATTACAGACTCCGTAGAAATAATTAATCAATTATATACTACGAATTCTGCACACTGGCGAATGATATTCAATTATTTTTACGTATTAAAACTCTCATACATGTTACCCAGAGGGGTGGGCAGAGACTACGGACTTCCATTTGGTATGATCTTGACAGACCTCTCTCCCTCGCCTTTCTCTCTCTCTCTCTCTCTCTATGTCTCGCTTCTTTCACATTTCATTTCATATACGCGTCGTCTAAAAGGTACCCGTAATTTGGCCCATATTCATGAAATGAATACATATATAATATAATAAAATAAATTAAAATAATAAAGCCTTTTTTTCTTCTAATTCCATGCATTACAATGATTTTTGAGCTTTGAAATTATTATGCAACAATTCAGTTCAAATTACCTAAATTAAATTAAAACATAAATTAACATACTAATTAATTTTTATTTACACGCACTTGTATAAAATACACCCATATATAAAAATATACGAAATTTAGCTTTACTATTAACATAAAAACATTTGGATTTTTTTAATATATAATTTCAGCCACGTAGTCTACCGACCTATTTTCTAACCTGATACACTTTTTGATGTTATTTGTCATGGCGTTCGTCTTTGACAGGTCCATGTCTAATCCCATCTTCTCTAATCTTCTCTGCTGCTTATATTAAGGGACTCTAACATATATTGCAGGACACAGCTAGTTTCTGATGATAACACTATATCATCTGCGAATTTTAGATGGCTTGAGTATTTGCCATTAATGTTCAGACCAAATGTATTCCAGTCCAGTTTTCTTATGACAGTTTCCAGTACAGCTATAAAAAGAATTGATGATAACGGATCGCCTTGAATTACTCCTTTTTTAATAGGAAAGCTTTGGCCAATTGTTTCCAATTTTACTTTGCTAGTGCTTTTGCTATAAATGTTTTTATCACTTCTATGTATTTGTTTTCTACTTTTTGAGC